ATCATAAAAGCAGTGAAGAACGGGGTAAGAGTGGTGGAGCTTGACCTATGGCCCAATTCAGATGGAGATGGTGTGCATGTTCTACACGGAAGGTAAATCATGTAGATTGTTTTGGATTCTCCTATAGAACAGTGCTCAGTTGAGCTTTGCTAGTTTGCACTCTGACTTTAATCACCCAACTTATATATTTACCAAACAGCACCTGAAAAGGTAATAAATCCAACCTTATTCTGTTGAATCATGTTTTATTTTTACATCAAGCAGTGAAGTTTCCACTTCTTTTAAGGCCTTAATTTTTTGGTTTCAATTTAGATTAGATATTTTAAGGGACAAATGCATCAGGAACGAGGTGCTTTTGAGATATCACAATGGTTGAGTTTTAGCAATGCTATTTATATATATATCGTAATAAAGTTGGATATTCAATTTCCCCTTTTTTGATAAACAAAGAATCTTGATATAGCATCTGATAACTTTTATAAGCTTAGATATTTAGGTTGCTAGTATGAGTTTCTCTGCTGTACAAGTAACATCTAACAACTAAACTCTTCAAAAACTATTCATCTAAGGGTCATATGAGGAATAAGATGAAATTCATATGCTAGTCAAGAACTGTTGTTGACTTGGTCTGGTAAAAACTCATGAATCATTGTGTCACTGACCATAGGAGAGTAGAAAAACATGATATGGCGGAATATTGTTGCTTCTATATCTATATGGTAAAATGCATTGAATAGAAGGAATGAAGAAAAATTAATGTCCATTCCTGTTTTCTCCACACTACCTCTCATTCTCATTTGATTTTATTTGCATCTTGTGTCAGCTATCATCATATTTTTGTTTCTTTTGTTTATACTCGATGAATATTCTTTGAGGTGCCTATTCTTGAATGCAGGACGCTGACAACTCCAGTGGAACTCATTAAGTGCTTGAAATCTATTAGAGACAATGCTTTTGTTGCATCTCCTTACCCTGTTATTATTACTCTTGAGGACCACCTAACCCCAAATCTTCAGCAGAAAGTTGCTCAGGTACTTTTATTTTTTCTATGGATTTTAGTAAATTCTTAAGTACCAATCTTCCTCTGGAATCAGTGTACTGACTGTAAATACTTTTATCGTAGATGATTACTGCAACATTTGAAGACATGCTGTTTTTTCCGGGGTGTGACTATTTAAAAGAATTTCCTTCGCCAGAAGAGCTGAAGTGTAAGATTATAATATCAACCAAGCCTCCAAAACAGTACCATAAAGTCATAAGTATCAAGGAAGAAAGAAATAACTCAAAGAAGGGAAGGGGTTGGTGGCATCTTCCTTTACC